CAGGGCTAGAGCTACTGTACACTCCGTGTCCCAGGTCAGACCCAGAACCAGGGCCACTCTATAGGGTAAGTAGTAGCAGCAGAGGCAAGTGGGAGAGGTGGCAGGGAACAGATACTGGAAGGGAAGGCAGGGGTCAAGCTGTTTGTCTTCCCCACTGCTTACCCCACTGCTGCTGCGTTTCATGCTGCAGCAGTGGGAGGGGGGTGAAAAATTAGATTCTGTACATGGAAATTTATAACAAATTTACAACTTTCCTTGTGTGGAATCTAATTGTTGGGGGGGGGTTCCTCCTAAATTTAAAGTTGTCTTGGATTTGTATGAATTCAGTATGTCCTGTATGGGCACGTCCCCATGAGCGATCCCTACTTGGGATCCTGGGGGCCTCCCAGGACTCTAGTGGCAGTGATCCAGGTGTGTGGAGTCTGGCTGGCAGCATGGCTCTGGCCAGACAGGCTCCGGTTTTGGGTGGTGCATGTTACTGCCACATGTGCCGCCCCGCTTTTTTCTGGCATGGATTTTTTTTTTGACACGGGGATCTCCTGGCGTCAAAAAAACTAGCTGTGTTGCAAATTAGCAGTGTGCCAAATGTCTACATGTGCAGGGTGTGCAGTTTGCAGTACCACTGATGGGTCTGAAGCACCACAAACCACACGCGTGCTTATTTGGACATGCTCTATGTGTGTGTTGGGGGTGTGGGGAAGGAAGTAGAGCAATCATTTAAAAACCTGGTTATGCTCTAGGCTTCTATGTCTATCAAATCTGTAAGATATAGCAACTTTTTCTGTATTCAGTTTGCACTCACCTCGTTTGAATGTGAGGACCACCTCGTTCATTTGCCAAGCATATTGATGAGGTAGTATTCAAAATAGTTTTTGTAGACTCGGAGCTATCCCTAGCATATGGTGAATTGGGGCAACTGCCCTAGGCCCCATGTTTTATGGGGGCCCCATGGAGCCAGGCGGAGTGGCTGCAGCCCCTCCTGTGGGGCCTGCCTGGAGCTGGCAGCTCAGTCCCGTGCTGCGCCCTCCCCCACTCACTGCTGTACCATGCATGTTCCCCCTCTCCCCTGCACCACTGCACCGCATGGTTTCATGGCCCCAGACTCGCTGTCCAGTCTCCACACTGTGTGCTGGTTTGCCTTGCCCCCTGGGGCAGGGACAACAGTTGGAGGAGGAAGGGGGAGCCCAGAAACTCTGGCTGCTATTGCAGGGTGATTGGGGGAGTGGTGGCAGAGCAGGAGCCCAGGGGCTGCAACTAAATCACTTGCAGGGCTGCCAGTTGGTTTGTAAATGTCTGCAAGATTTTGTTAAATAAGTATCGAGGGTCTTGATATAGTAGTGTAGCATATGCATGCATCGAAGGTGATGAAATACTGCAACTAAACCTTTGAGGGTGGAGGAGATGATGACAGAGCGCAGTGTAGTATTTTTAATTATAAGGAATAAATCCAGATAAAAATACTAAAACATAACTTCAAAACTTAAAAAGCAATGTGGGCCACCATAGTTATGGAAGGCCATTTAAGGACAAAGTGGCTAGATGCCTTTCTGCTTCTCTTTTTCCCAGAACCACAGGTCCAAATCTGTTGAAGTTTGAGTCAACTTTTTATCTGTTTGTACAACTTGGTGCCGTACTACCTTTCCAGGGGAGACTAATTAAATACCACGTACCTCACGGCACGTATCTTTCAAGCAGGACCTTTTCACTGTTTTGTTCTTCATTGATGTTGCAAGGCTCATAGCATTCTTCATAAAACAGTTTGGCTTGTTTCCTTGGCCAGAATTTTCTCTTCCCTCACCACCAGTAGGTTTTGAATTTGTCCCTCGTCCTCCCATTTTTGAGGTTCTGGCACGACTGCTTTGCAAGAAGGTGTGTTTTACTCAGTATCAGTATAGAACACCCATGTTTTTCATGAATGGCGTAATCCTGAGTTAATTCAGCCGTTCATGTTAAATAAGTGTATGTAGTTCCATATACTGCATCATGCATTGTATATATGGCACAAGATAAACAAAAGAAGCTGTTTTAAAGAATGATTGATTCTTTTATAATTATATAAACAAAAATAGAATCATACAAAATTAGTGTTGGAAGGGACCTCAGGAGGTCATCTAGTTCAACCTCCTGCTCAAAGCAGGACCAGCCCCAACTAGATCATCCCAGCCAAAGCTTTGTCTAGCCAGGTTTTGAAACCCCCCAAGGACAGAGAGTCCACCACCTCTGGGTAACCTGTTCCAGTGTTTTACTGCTTTCCTAGTGAGAAAATTCTTCCTAATATCTAACCTAAACTTCCCTTGCTGCAGCTTGAGACCTTTGCTCCTTTTTCGGTCACCTGCCACCACTGAGAACAGTCTAGCTCCATCTTTTTTCGAACCCTGCTTCAGGTAGCTGAAGGCTGCTATTAAGTCCCCCCTCAATCTCCTCTTCTCTAGACTAAATAAGCCTAGATCCCCCAGTCTTTCTTTGTAAGTCATGTCCCCCAGCCCACCCACCATTTTTGTCACTCTCCGCTAGACTTTCTCCAATTTGTCCACATCCTTTTTGTAGTGTGGGGCCCAAAATTGGACGCAGTACACCAGATGTGGTTGCACTAGTGCTGAGTAGAGGGGAATAATTACTAACCTTGCTCTGCTTGCAAAACTTCTGCTAATGCAGCCTGCTATGCCATTAGCCTTCGAAACAAGGACACACTGCTGGCTCATTCAGTGTACTGTCTACTGTAACCCCAGGTCCTTTTCTGCAGAGCTGCTGCCCAGCCAGTCAGCCTGTACTGGTGCATGGAATTGTTCCATCCTAAGTGCAGGACTTTGCACTTGTCCTTGTTGAACTTCATGAGATTCCTTTTGGCCCAGTCATAGATTCATAGATGTTAGGGTCGGAAGGGACCTCAATAGATCATCGAGTCCGACCCCCTGCATAAGCAGGAAAGAG